GGCGAAAAAAGCGAATAAAGCATATTTGATGCTTTGCGTGTTTTTTTGTCCATTTCGGGGAAATATTTTCCAGCAACGCCACTGTTAATAAAGAATTGAGTTAGTTAGCGATTTTGTGTGTGTGTGTGCGTGATCGACACAGTCAACGGAGACAATAAATTATTCAAGACTTTGAGGTTAACTGACACAATTCGATGTTTTAATCGATGTTATCAAAATCAAGATGCTTATAGCATATTGAGATTGCCAGATGCTCTTTACGTGGACACTTTATGACTGGATAATAGATTTTACGTGGATTATGGATTTACGTGGATGATAAATTGCCAGATGCTTTGTGACAACACATCTTGCGTGGACCTTTCTATTGCCAGATGCTTTTTGTGCTTGATCATCAATCAGATGAAGTAATGCGGTTAGTTTCGCTATTGCTGATATCATATAACCACTCGGAGTATATTACCAGCTAATAATATTGATTATCATAGGTGCAGTGTTTCTCAATATGCTATAAGCATCTTGAAAACACACGACAACAATAACAATTCTCAATGTCGTTTTCACACCGCCCAGCGAGATAGTTCATGCGGAATGAACAATGAATTTGTTTGCGTACCTATCATCAAAGCTCAATCTCACCGTGCAAATATATTAATATTAAACATACTGAATGACTGAAATCAGAAGGTCATTATTGTAATTCGGTGCTGTTTTTCAAATGATTTGAGTGCTGTATTATTGATATGAACATCAATGAATTATTGATATGAACATTCAAAACGAGATCTTTCACGAGATCTCAACGCAAATAGATAAATGTCATATCTTATCGCATTCAGATTTCACATGAAAGCATTTGAAATGACTCCAATATAGTGGCAATCTTCTATTCCAAGCAGTGAGATCATTACAGATTTTTTATTATGTAAATGATGCTTTTAACATGTAATTACGCCGTATGTCCATATGAGTGTACGAAATGAACACTCGCGAAAATAACATGGAATGCACACGATTAATTCTCAGTTAATGAGAGTCATTTTAATCTTGTGAATCTGCATTCTTCACGTATTCAAGACGTCTTCGTGAGAAGTTGATGAATGTGTGATGAATTCGGAGATCGAAATTCAGATACTTTTTCATTTTATTTGTTGCTCAATCACACCGTACGCTTGAGAAAAAGACTGCGATGGCCAATGGATATATTATATTGAACGTGTGTATGAGCATAGAATATATTCGCTCAAAAACCATTCTCAAAAGGAATTTTAAAAGTGGTGATATCATGGAAAGAAGGATGGATCACTGAGTGGATTTGGATTGTTTATAATGACGTTGCTGTTCACGAGCGAGTGAAGAAAGGCAAATGACGACGAATCTGAAAAGTGGGATGCGACCGACGTTTTTAGACCAAAAAATCTAAACACTTAATAAACATCTACAGTGCACCTAATGGAATGCAACCGAGTGAATGATTTAAAGTAAATTATTGTTCTTTAATCGAGCAAATCGCGCAGTTGCGTGTTGAAGGGAACTGCTTGAAAAAGAGAGTGCAATTTGAAAAAAGACTGATGATTATTTGAGGAGAATGTAGTTAATAATCAGTGCGAAAACGGAAAAACCATCAGCGATAAATCATCGTTTCATTGGATTGAAACTTTTCATGAGATAGCCACAATAAAAAGCAACTTTAGTGATGCAATCCGTGCAATCAATCTCGGCATTATTTTAAAACCAGAAAAGCTCGATGGACAACAACGAATGCTCACTATATTTTGAGCGGATAGCAAGGAGTTCGAATGTCTCCCGTCTGGACGGAGCGGGCGCATGCCGATGAAACTATACTCGAAATGTCCCATTAAAATCCTAGAATTCTCAAGAGAGTAAGCGAACTTTTATCCGAGCAAAAAAAATTTTGGTCACTTTCCCATTGGATAGATGAGTGTGATGAAGATTAAGTTTGGTATGCACAAGCCAGATATCATGAGCAAAACAGGAACAGAAACTTTTTTGGGACTACAATTTATGAAAGGTTCGAATTTTTTGCGTTATTCTGTGAAATCGACAAACACAGCTGGAAAAACATTAAAATCATGCTGTTTCTAAAGAATTGTTCGGAGGCATTAGTCAAGTTTGGAGGAGGCAACTAGGAAATATTCGACACGTTGGAGGCATTAGCTAGATGGGTGTTTAGATCGGAATCTTGTGGAATAAAAACGAAAAAGATTTCATCAGTGTGTAGACGGTCTTAACGCATCTCATTCAAATGATCTCCACTGTTCACAGTGTCTCATTTCTAGTTGAGGATTTCAACCGAATTGTAGTTGAGAGGATATTTCGCAACTGCTATTGCACTAAAAAACTATGATCGATGGTTTGATGAAAGCATCGTGACGAAATTAGGCGATAAGAATGATCATATGATTGGTAGAATGAAAAACACTTTTGTGGCGGTCTCATTCGTTGAATCGCTTCATATCCACATCGTACATACGTGCAATTACGAAGCTTTAATTGTTACTGTTTTACTTAGTAGTTCCTGAATTTGTTTCTTGAATCATTGTTGACTTTCCCCACTCTTTTATTATCTAACGAGATCATATCGCGAGGCAAACAATAATGCTTTTCTGTGCTCATTCATTACAATGTCAACAACTAAACAGTCAGGATTACGGTAGTGAACTTCCACCAAATTTGCTTTTGAGCAAAATGCTATTAAACTTTATTGTTGTTTCCAGCAAACTCTGAAATGAAATGAAAATGTAAAAATCGAAGTAATTATTTGAACTATTGAATGGTAAATAATTAATTTATNACTCATAATAATCTCATCACTTCAAGAGACAATCACATTATCGTTGGAAAATTGAAGGTATGACAGAGTTTAGAATGACGAATGAACAAATAGGATACTGAAGATAATTCTATGGTACGATAGAAATGACGAGAAGCCAGCTAAAAACTAATTACGATAATCAAATGAGAGGAATGAAAGAACGACGTTTACGGATATTGAAAAATAACTGAATTATGCCGATGTTCGCTTCATTTCACAAATTGAAACAGCCAATCTGATTACTCGAAAGTTCGGGCGATAAAATGGGCACGACAAGTCATGCGGATGCTCATAGTTCAATGATGAACAAATCAGTCGATTTGAAAAGTTATTCACGTCAAACCACCAGAGAACAGAAGGGGCGTGCCACATAAATCGAATTCCTGTAGCTCAAGTGCAAATATTAACAGGTGATCACTCGTGATGCTTGAAGTACCATTTCATGCACGACAGTCGCATATATTCTGGTAATTTGGATCAAATGTATTTAAGAATACAGATTTTGTTAGGTCCTCAGTCATCATACTTTGACTGATTTGTTTCCAACATATCAGATGCACGTTCATCAATATGATGAGACATAATAAGGTTTGTTCATCAGAGTTGAGCATTGTTCACAGTAATTAACAGTAAAGTTTGATCGAACCTTACTTCGGCTTCTGTCTGTCGATATCTCAAAGATGGCTGCATATCCTTGAGCGAATGAGCATCGCTCGTCTCATGCGCCCCATCTATTCTTTCTTATTGTTAATTGATCAGATCACATGGAAAAAGTGTTCTGCCTTTCATCAGCACATAGTTGCTCACTATATTTTCATCATTTGCCTGATTCATTTCTTAATATGTCGTTTTCGTTCTAAGAAAATTGAATCAGAAAAAAGAATGTGTATATTTTAAGCCTTAAACCCATCAATGAAACTGGTGTTTAATGATTTGTGAAAAAATAGTTGTATGATATGGTGACTGTGATCTCTTTTAGATGAGAGCTTTTCGCAGATAAAATTTCCTCATCGTCGGAGCGAAACTGCCGGAATTGAAATGCAGTTGAGAGGATATTCGCAAACGTTATTGCGCTAAAAAACTATGATCGATGGTTTGATGAAAGCATCGTGACGAAATTAGGCGACAGGAATGATCATGTGATTGGTAGAATGAAAAACACTTTTGTGGACAGTCTCATTCGTTGAATTGCTTCATATCCACATCGTACATACGTGCAATTACGAAGCTTCAATTGTTACTGTTTTACTTAGTAGTTAAGGGGAATTTACTCATTGTTGATTTTGTTTCTTGAATCATTCTTGACTTTCCTCACTCTTTTTATTATTTTTTATCGCTTGTGAATAATTTCAAGGAGTGGCATACTCTTGGAATTGTTAACAAATAGTTTGCAGATTGATTCCTTTTCATTAAGATTTCTATCCAGCCAGTGTCCACAAACGACTTCACTTCAAAATTATGAATATTTCGCCTTAATCTGTTCCTGTTAAGGTTTTTGATCGAATAAGCGCGATTTTAATTGCTCATTCGATGACTCGATTAGTTCTTCAGAACATACTTCTACTTCGATCATAGTTCAATGAATCTGTCGTTTAATGGCTGTGTGGTGGATTCTGAAATAGCGTTGGACACTCAGGAATGATAATAGAAAACTTTAAGCGTATTTGATCATTCGTAATTCTTGGAGTGTAATGTCGAAATTGAATTTANAAAAAAAAACAAACAATAGTTACAGTAGAAATAATCTGCTAGATGCATTACATGACAATGAAAGAAACGATACGAGTGATAGAGATCAGTCAATAATGTGAAACATTTGAAAAATTGATACAGTTTATTACATTGGCGTACGCAGAAAGTGGTGTTGCTTTTTAGCTTTAAGAGGAGTATGTATGAAACTCTTTCGGATATTCATCCTTAGTCAAGTGAATAGAGTTGAACAAAAAAGGAAACGTTGATTGAAACCTTTATTAGTAAGAGTTTTTGAGGTTTTGGAAGGTTTCATGTCTGTGGTGCCACATCATTGCGTTTGCCTTTGATTTGCGATGGACAGAGCGAATGCCGCATACAATAAAGTGAAACAAATCATGGTTGTGTGAGATTGAAAAGGTTTGTTGTCTCGATAGTGCCATCATCCATACGCAAATGTGGTAAACGAAATTGCGTTGCTAGCAGATAAACGACTGAGAGCAGAACGATAACAGTCACCTGAAAACGTTTCAGATTCATTTGAAACGTATTTCTTCAGTTTAAGTGCAGCTTTCATGAGTCAAAACGAGTCGAAAGTAAGATTGTTTTATCGCAGACCTGATTGACTTCCGTAGGGAATAATTTACTAACATTTGCATTTTCGTAATTCAATTATTTTTAGATAATATCGCCATACTGATGAAAACTGATGTGAGTTTGATTGCCCTTTGAGCTAATTGAACATTCTTCATGTGATTCGTAGACTTAACATGGTTATTATCTGACAAATGATGATAGATTTCTTTTCATATGCTTTTTATTTGGTCAAATGGTAATGTCGAGTAAAGGTGGCTATTGTGAACAACCTACAATATACCTTCATAAAGAAGCTCGGCTCAATTGGTGCAATTAAAAGCAGTTGCAGGTGCTGGAATTCCTCGATTCGTTTCACCGTTCCGAAGATGAGTAGACATAACTGAAAGCAACCTTAATAACAAACAATATTATCATTAGCTACACATGATAATCTGACCAAAAATACTGGCAATTTGAATATAAAATCATTTTCGATACTGATGAATATAATGAATGAAAACAAAATCACATTTCGATCACAAGCAGTTGTTTCAGGATTTGTTTCAAGTGCTCAATTAACTGACTGACAAATGACGGAAAATACCCTCCTTGTGGATATGGATATAAAACTGGTGTGTTTATCTAGCAAACTTCGGAGTGAAACCCGCAGAATGCACGCAGATCATAGCGAAACGACATGATAATACGTGACATAATCACTGTCAAGTCAGTTTCAGGCTAATTTCTTGACCGAAATCGCAATCGCGNGAAACGACATGATAATACGTGACATAATCACTGTCAAGTCAGTTTCAGGCTAATTTCTTGACCGAAATCGCAATCGCGTCCAAGGATTTTTTCATGAGTTTTTATCCATCTGATCTGCATCAGTGAATCGAAATTAAATAGGAACGATGTTAGATAGTGAAAATCCTCAGACCAAATACAGTTAAGCTGACCTCAAAATTTCGAAAAAAACATCAACTTCACTGAAATCAACAAAGCCCTCTAAAGAAGGGGAACAATTCAACAGTTGCAAGACTGAGAATCTCTCAACCTTTTCGTTCACATTCTGCCAGATATCTTTCACATTCAGCACCAAATGCCTTGTTCGTTGAACCTGCGCGTACAGACGGAAGCAATTGTAGAGAATTGTTCCGAAATGCGAACACCAAAACGCGATCAGCACAATGCACAACGATAAATATGGCCAAGTGGCTGACAGCAACAAATAAAAATTGGCCAGATTACAGAGGACACCGATTGCACTGATCACTATCCAAGTGCTTACCAACGAAGCGATTCGCTGGTTGAAATGACCACAAACATTCAGTATGTCGATATGGCGTGACATATAATTGCTCAGTAGATCAGCATGCTGTAAAATTCTGGATCGTGATGCCGAAACGGTTAGTAATGGTTAGTAACTTTACAAAACATCGGAACATACGTCAAGCTAAACGAATGCTTTTTTTCAACGTACCGTTATTTTGACAAGTTGTGAGATCGTTAATATTATACTGATCTCTTCAATTATGATCCAACATACAAATGAGTCTGTTTCTCGTGATCGTTCATCTTCACCAAGACGGAATTCACTCTCTTGTTGCGGTTAGTAATGGCTCAAGCTTCTTTCTTCTGGATTAATTTGGTTCAGAACGCTTGCACTGAATCCGATGTAAGGGGAGGGGGTGAGCAGAACAGTACAGATTGCAGTAGTAGGAAAACATTGCAATGCATCAGTACGCCTTAGAATTTAATCTCATAGGAGAGAGTAAATTCTGCCTAAGTAAAGATGAATGAACACGAGAAACAGGCTCATTTCTATGTTTGATCATAATTGAAGAGATCAGTATAATCCGAACGATCTCAGTGTAACTTGTCAAAATAACGGTACGTTGAAAAAAAGCATTCGTTTAGCTTGACGTATGTTCCGATATTTTGTAAAGTGTTTAGGTGCCAGAATACAACTAAACTAATGAGGCGCGATGGAATTCACATATTGGCAAGTATGTGTTCCACTCGTNTCTGGTACAAAGAATAACACACTCAAATACTGTAGCCTGGAATTCTAATTGAATTTATCCTTTGAACAACACCGCGAAATCCAGTTCGTGATTGGCGTAATTAAGTTGAAGACGCATGAATATTGGTTCACTTTCAAAAATTTCAATAGTCGGATATCATTAGATGATTATTGGAGAAGAGTATGAATATTTATTGATATCAAAATTTCCTCATCACGTTTCATCTAGCAAAGTTTCTTATGTTGTACTGTTATCGAATGGTGAGAACCACTTGAGGTGAAGTTAAGAAGGAAATTGTTGCTGAAGACGATCTAAGGATGTTCGATGCAAAATTTATACGCAGAAACCCTCTGAATGATCTTTTGCTAAAACTTTCATCACTTTAGAATGGTACCCGGTCAATCTGTCTAAAGACACTTAGCCTAACGACAGTTTGCCTAAAGACACATTGCCTAACGGATAGTTTGCCTAAGGAACAGTTTGCCTATAGGCGAAATATCCATTAAAAAACCGTAAATTAGGCAAACTGTCCATTGGGCAAACTACCCGTTAGGCAAAACGTCCTTCGGCAAATTGTCCGTCAGATAAACTGTCCGTTAGGCAAACTGTCTGCTATGTAATGTGTCTTTACGTAAACTGTCGTTAGACTAAATGTCTTTAAATAGATTCACCGCTCATGCTCTAGAATGGTGTTTAGATCAAACTGAAACTATTTCATTGTTCTTGTGCAATCTCCATTGTGAGTTCCTGATTAGAACGGTGCCACGTAATATCGCTAGGGCATAAACTAGCCCAGAGTATTCAGAAAGAATTCTTCTCAACCATCTTAAAAAAGTTACGTTCGAACGTAATACTCACACTCCATCAAGAACGTGATCATCGTTCAAGTGTGACTGACGGCTGAACAGGAACACCTCTGTGGTTAATGCAAGCACCAGGATTGTTATTAATGATATCGACCACGCCACATGCCACCGACATAGATAATTGTGATCTTGCTTCCGAACTGATTTCAATGCCTCAACGATAGTTTGATTCTTGATTACAGTTTTCGTTATAGAATCACTATTGTTAGTGTGGTGATTTTGTTTCATTATTCAGTGCTTTTAAGCGGTTTCCGATGCGAAACTAGCATTCATATACTTGCACGTTTGAAAACAGTAAAAGCCCATGGAAACTCATCGAATCGGTTCATGATGGCCACTCTGATTTGGGAGATTTCTTGGAATTACGGGTATCGTAATGAACTTTAA